GAGACAATCAACGATATCATAAATCTTATTGTGAATTGGGATATCATCCCATCATGCAATAAACGTACAGTGTAACGCAGTCGGATGTGGCGAATAAAAATTACAACCACAGCATAATCTAGTTATTTAATAAAAAATGCATTATAAAACGACAAATTCTATGATAACAAGAATGCGTACATGACCGTTATTACACTGGGCGGTACGTTAGGTTTACATGGAAACATTGCGGATAAATCCACCCTAAGGATCATATTGTCACTGTCATAGTTGATGAGCTTTATGAAGGTTGCATTGCGACGTGCAACTGATGGTCGAGAATAGATCCATGTGAAGTTGGAGGCTTCTAGAAGCCGCAACCTTATATCCCTCTGGAATATCTGAGGCTTTGATGATGGTGCAGGACGAAGCCACTCGTTCCACATCTGTTTCCGGTGGCACTGGGCCCTAACTACACAATCTTCAAAGCTGAACACTGGACAATCTGGGAAGTAGATATTCGACATGTAACGCGGGAAGAACCCAACGATGGAGAAGGTGGAACAATGAATTGGATTAATTGGAGTTGATAGAATGGAATGGCTCGGCTTTACAGGCGTGGTCCCAATTGAATGTTATTTTATATCTTTTATTCATACTAAACATATTGTTCTATCTCTAGCCTAGGCTTGTTCTACATCATGTATTGGTGATTGTTACAATACGATGAGTTGGTGTAGACGATGGCATGACTTCTACGTAAGATCTTATGGATTAGTCGGTTATACCATGACAAGTCTACAATTTTAGGATTAGGTCTATTATTAGAGCAATGCTAATAAAGAAGTAGACCATAATTCTACATTGGTAAGCCCGACTAAATAGAAGCAACCTATTACTACTAATCCTCATTTCCGCTCTGACTTTCTCGATCGATTTTCACTTATGTAAACCCATTATTCTAAAAGTCCTATGATTAATGCTCAAAAGTATTACCGTAGTGTTATATTGAATAATACTCATAGCTTAATAAAAAGAACTGGTCATCTATATTAGTTATTAGCTTTGATGGTTTATTAACAAGCTATAATAGCATTTACATTCTTCAGCGAAATAAACTTGTTTAAACACCAAGCTCTCGCAAATATGACCTGTAAATAAAGTAAATATACATCAAGTAGCAACGTAAGCAAGGACTAAATATTTAACTGGATCTAATTCTTCATATTCGGTTTCAATTAATTTTGGACTTGAACAAATTCAGTCTACAATACTGTGTTAATCCATAAATTTAATCAAAAGTACCTCGTATGTAATCCAGATTCAAACCACTGTCGAATTCAAGTTTTTATTACTTGGAAGCGAGAATAACCCAGGCGAGTTTTGACCTTTTTCACTTTCTTGGTTCATTTACTATGATTCAAGCACTTCTTAATTTATATAGATTTTTCCCATTAGACTGGTAGTATATATTTCAAAGCAGCCACTCCCAAGACTTTTTGGTAGAAATATTTAATACTTTTATACTATAACATACTGTTAAAAGTAAGTGTGTTGTTAAAGACATTTCTTAGTCCCAGTTGCTTTTGCCACATATTAGTAAATATCACTAGGTTAAATGCAGGATCTTCTTATGGAAAGTTTATAACGCGTCGTATTTCTGCCTGAAGTTACATAAGTAGTCTCACCTTCAAAATTAGTTTTCTCCTTATATTCATTGTTTTTAAATTTTCATATACCTCCATAACCTGCATGTTAGTCTGGCTCGTACATGCGTTGTATTATATCTCTATGTCTTTTAAATTTAAAAATCATTTGAATCGCCCTTAACATTTTTCAATGAACCCATTATAGTCGTTGTTGCTATAGGTATTTGGGTTTATAAATTGGTCTATCATATTATTAGCCTAATAACAATATTTTTTAAATAATAAAGTCACTGAATTTAGGTACTAGCATACTGCACTAGTATAATAACTAAACTCTTACGTAGTTGTTGTCCAAACATCTAAAATTAAAACTCCGGAACCTACTACGAAAATTAACATTAGACGAATATTTTTGAATTGAAATTTATGATATAATTAGGCAGCTCGGATTCTTTGACGCTACAAACTTCTGATAATTTCGATGCACCTAAAGCAACAATACCTATTTTCCACTGGCTAATCCCCAATCAACACTGCAATTAGTTAGAGATATTGGTTTCAGGATTTTGAAATAAAGTATTGTCATTACTTGACAATTACGTAATATGATTGATAAAATTAATGAAACTATTACCAAAATCGGTCAGCAAATTGACTTATAATTATCATTAATTAATGTCGCTTTTCTTTTATTTTCATTCACTACAGATGATTACAGAATGTTTCTCTATCAGTTGCTCATTCAGTAAATACCTCAAATCCTTGTCAGTCTAATTGGAGGTTTAGCGACACAATCATGCATGCAAATAACCAGCATAAGCAGTCGAGCAAATCTCCTCCAAACCGAAAACGCCAATGTCGAATTTACCCCAACACTGAGTAGGGTTCAAGCCATAATCATAGACGTGAGTTGGGAGTGTACTCCCCTTAGTCACAACTTATGTTCGACCTGACAATCACATGAGCATCACTCACTGTTAATTACCTTGTAAAAACTTATTTAGCCAAATACATCTTGCAGCACCACATCACCTAGAAATGTGATACATAGGCTTAGTTGATTTCAACAACTTTAATCACTATAACTCAATTAAATCGTATTCCGCCTTATGTTAAACTGCACCATCAGCCGGTAGGTATGAATGTAAATAAATAGTCTGTGGCAAATCAGAACACTGAGTCTAGAACATGTCTCTTACAAATACACTCATGTTTAACGAACTGCTCTTAGTTATCTGTCCAAAAGTACCGTAATTTTTACTGTTTTCATGCACTAGAAATCTTTTGATAACCATTCGTATCTATTAGTAGTATTACTAAATTCTATCACGGTCAAGTAAAAATGAGGTCGAGAAAATATGTACTACCTATAGGTTAAGTTATTAAGCAACGGCTATTACTACGCATCTTACGGTGACTTATTAAAATATCCGTTTATGCAGTCATTTTACTATTATTATAATCCCACTTTTTAGCTCAAATAATCTACCTACATTTTCATTTTGAAGATAAATGATCATTATAAATACTCAACTTAATAGAATCAGAATTACAAGACTTAATATTAGTTGTAGCAAGATGAACAGTAGTATTACTAACTGACTGAATATATCCAATATCACCACATTTAAGGCACCCAGAATTACGAAATTTACAAGAATTAAAAGAGTGGAACCTGCCACAGGACAAACATTGACCAACCTTGTGCCCATTTTCGTGAACTGCATCGCAACTCCTCCATGAATTATCTGCATAACCTTCAGTATGCACTGGGTTGGGATGACGTGATGCAGTGGAATTTTTTATATCCTCATAAATCATTTTTCGAAATCTTCCTCCTTTACGACATTTGAAATTTGCACGCTTAACATAGTCTAGCAGTAGATCCTTGAGAGTTGTATAAGAAAGCGAAATGGGCTTTTCCGGTAAAGCCAGAGTTTCTAATAAGCTGTATGCTTCTTTTCCGATGAATGTGAGGAAATGTGCTACAATATTAACATCCTCATCATCTTCCTTGGTCATAGCCCAGATTTCGAACCTTTCAAAATAATCCTCGAAAGCATCAAAATCTGAATGTTGTCCAACCGTTCCATCACAGGCTCCATCGCGACGCCAATATGATGATTAGAAGTATTTGAATTATAGTACGAACTAAGAATCCCAGAAATAACGTAATCGGATCATGAAATACTCGATAAACACTAACGAATATACTGTATTTGAAATTCGAAATCAAGCATTCAACAAGTACAAAGGAATCATTATTCCATTCAAACATCACAGTAACCCAATTCTTGGTTCCTAATATTCTCACTTATATGTATATATTTCTATTTTTTCATGAAAGCTATGCTGCAAAAATCGTTTTTACGCTATTGAGTGTTTACGAAACGCGTGTATATGAGTTTGTTTTGTTTACCCGCCCACTTTGTGTCTTTACACGCACAAGAGTGTAATCGGGCATACACTCACATATCCTTTTTTTCCAGGGCGGCTAGAAAAGACAGAAAAGAAACGACGAGGTTTACGAGCAGTCAAAATATTAACTGCACGTGTTTTTTATTACTATATTGTACCACATGGCCTCTTATAATAAGGAAAATTACCAGACGCCGCTGAACATAGCAAGCTATCAGAAACGTGTTTACCAACGATAAAATCTTTGGGTTTAAACTTCTGGCTGGCCATGTTTTAGGGTCATCACTACCCCACTAGGGCAAATGATCTGTGGCGGTAAATAAATCCCCAAAATAAATAGCTCTGTAAGTCTTCGACATTTAATGCTGACCGCATTGGTTTTAATGGACCCTTCTAGCTGAAGGCACTCGGCTACGTGTCCACACCAGATCACGGGTGGGTGCACTGTGCTCAACTTCTCCTACATCGGTTAGCCAGATAATATCAGTCACTTTTGGATATATTAATGGCTTACCAACCACATCTTGGAACCTCTCTGTTTCTGACTTCTGATTTCACTGGGTTGGGACGTTTCAATTATAGGAGGTGTTACTGGTTAAGTTGTTGTCAAACCCCAAATACTTGTGGGATTTTCAAAACCAATTTACGGTTCGAATCAGTGAGTTATAGGACTCCCTACATGAAGTTATAGTAAAAGAACCCTCTACCGAGACTTTCGAAAGAAAGGTCAACGATGACCTTAGTCTTATAGATAATAAGAGGGACTACTTTGGATGTTACTTTTCGACCACTCCTGCTTTCAACTCAATTGTTTTGTCCTTCAGTTTCTTGTAGGAATATAACAAGAACCATGTATTCCCACTATCAAACCGTTCTTTTAATATCCAGACGCAAGTCTCAAGTAACAGATGTTTCGCCTAATTTTCCAAGTTGAACCTGAACTTTATAATTCGCATTGTTCAGCGGGAAGACGATCTCTCCAAGGTCACGTTGCCGTCGTCTTTTCACGTGGTGACTATCTGTTTCCCTTTCTAGGCTTTGGATATTAAAAGATGGTCAGGAAATGCTTAAGTAAATTGTGAGCATTAATATTACTCTGCCTGTAGAAAACAAAAGTAAGCGCGTAACCTGTCACAAGCGATACAAAATTATCAAGAAGGTAAATTCATAGATGTTTGTTCAAATACTGGTTAGGTAAAAGAGCATCACCGCAAGTTACGTAAGGAAGCTAAAAAGAACTTAAACCGACATCGTAGGTTTTATAATTTTAATTCCCAATGATTTCAGGAAAGGATCCTGGTGTCCCTAACATTCTACCCTTCAAAGAAAGTTTTCTGAAAGATGTTGCCGAAGCAAAAATGAAGGTAACGTATATTATTCTTGATGAATGGTTTAGCTAGAAGAAGCAAGACTTAAAAATTTGGAGTATTCTCAAACTTATAAGTCTCTGAAACATGAAGATGTTTCTCACTCAACAGTTCAGCACGATGTTAAAGACGTTATAAACCAGTCTGACGTTATATTGGAAGTATTGGATGCACGTGATCCAATGGGTACGCGCTGTCCAGAGATAGAAGAAACTGTCCTTAGGGAGAATAAACGTTTGGTTTTGCTCATCAATAAGATTGGTAAGTGTTACATAGGTAACCGTTTTAGACCTTGTTCCGCGATCCAATCTCGAGGCTTGGGTAAATTACCTACGCAAAACTCACACGGTCATAACATTCAAGGCAAATACGCAACGCCAGAGTAACCATCTTTCGTGTGTAAAACCATATCTTCTGAAAGATGGAAAAATGTAAGTATTTAAGGTTTTAATTTGTTCAGGCCAAGTAAAGGGTTCGGAACTTCTGAATTATTGTCGTTGCTTGCAAACTACTCCCGTGATCCAAGCTCCAGTCTGTCTAACACTAACACTCGTCTTAGTTTGACCGTTGGTGTCGTCGGCCTTCCGAATACTGGCAAAAGCGCACTCATAAATACACTTAAAAGGCAAAAGGTGTGCGTCAGTGGTAATGTTCCCGGTTTAACACGGTAGTTGTTGGTATTTATTTGATTATGAATTTAGTCAGTCTCAGCGTGTACGGATTGACAAGAACCTATTTCTTCTCGATACTCCGGGTACCTTGATTTCAAAGTCATCTGATGCTTCAGATCTTGTGTTAAAAAATTGTATAAAAGTAAGTGATACTATAAAAGCTTTTTGCTCAAACTTCACTTTTGGAATGTCGGCTTATAGTAATTAGTTATAACTAATGTGTACTCCGGTACAAATTTGGGTCAGGCCAGTTGACTATAGGATTCAACAGGACGCGATGAAATTACAATAAATCGCAGTCGATGTAGTAGTTGTATCAATGATTGTAGAAAAGATAAAAGCCCGAGAATATAGTCCTTTTATTTAACTGACGTTTATTTTTTATGTAGAATATTTTGACATGTATGTGTGATCAGAGTTTTCTAAATGTATGGCCTAAATATATTACATTTCTCAGTCTAACTCTATTTGGTGCCCTATTGTACCACTATTTGTGTTCAAGTAAATCAACATTTTCATCCCATTTGGGCTGGAGTCAATATGAGTATAATTAGAAACGAAAAATAAACAACGGCGTCATTTTACAATACCAGCCGCTGACAAAAGTGCAAGGAACATAATAAGGAAATCGCAAAATAACTTTACACTAAATTTAGCTCTACTATCCACATTTCGAATTGTGATTCTATCTGTGACGTGAATATAACAGTTTCTATTGGGTTTTAAATAGCAACGCTAGATAATGTATAATAAACAACGTTCCATTCCAGTGGGATACTTTTAACAAGATTAACTTCACATCTGTATATACTTTTTGTTGTCCAAAATACACGCTTTGAAATCAATTTTTAGGAGTAAAGAGACAGTGTTTACCACTTCATATTTGTGAAACCATCTAGGATGTTAGCTTGTCATCAGTTGTTCCGTCTCAGTTAACATTATCAATACGTTTTATCAGCAGCTACTAATTTTGCAACTGTTTATTCAAACTTTTTAACAGCCAGAAATGCTCCCGGATCCTGTTCCAGCTGTTGAAGCCATATTGCGTCGTTGTTCACAAGCGCAACTGGTTTCTAAGTATAAGATTGAAGAGTACAATAATGTTTCAGAGTTCCTAGTTAAGTTAGCACACCGTTTGGGTCGAATGAAAAAGGGTGGTATTCCAGACACCACCATGGCAGCGCGTTCTGTAATTAATGATTGGATTATGTAAGTAACCTGTTGCTGTGACATTCTTTTTAGTGGAAAAATCACTTACTACACGGAGCCTCCGTATACTGATACTGTGGAAGAAAATCTCGATTTATCTTTAAAAGGTAAGTTAATATTTTCTACAAAGCAATCTGAATTTCCCAACATAAGAAACATTCTTTCATAAGCATCGCTAAGCTTCACCACCATCGTTTGTTTTTAAAGCAGCTTTTGTATGGACCAATTTTTTGAGTTTAGAAATATCATTTTTCCAAAAGTGATACAATGCCCGTCTCTACCGCCAATCGATACGTTCGTGCGCTGTGGTAATCATTCGCGACTTGACTTAAATACTGTGGATTTAGCTACTTATATCCTCTTCTTTTCTCTGCCCTATTTACTTATGCCTATTACCCCTTGCGGGATCATAGGTCACCGACTAAGGTTCTTCAACTCACCCTTCCAGTTGTTTTCAACTGTCATTCATTATTTTGATATCTGCTTCCAATTCCGGGAGCAATGTGTTCCTTGGTCTTCTACTTTTCCTTTTGCTTTCAGGATTCCATGTTAGCGCCTGCCTCATGATGCAGTCTAATGATTTTCACAATCTGTTTCCTATCCACTTCCAACATCTTTCCTTAAATTCTACTTCAGCTGGAAGCTGGTTTCTTATCTGACATATTATGTTTTTGCTGATGGTGTCGGGCCAACAGACACGAATTGTCTTGCATAGACAATTGTTCATAAATACCTGTACCATTTTAATGATGGTTGTAGTAGTCCTTTATGTTTAAACTCCGTACAATGAAACCGTCTTGATCTTTGCATTGAAAATTCAGACTTTGATATCGGTTGACAGACAGTTGTTTTGAGTCGTAGATGTTCTCCAGTTGCAGGAATGCCGTCCTTGCTTTGCCGATCCTTGACCTCACATCTTCATCAAATCCTCCCTGTTCATCGATGGTGCTGTTCAGGGTACGTGAAAGTTTCTATATTTTCTCTATCAAGTGTGATTGGGTTGCTGTTCTCTGAGTTGTATTTCAGGATCTTGCTTTTCCCCTGTGTATGTTAAAGCCTACTGCTTCAGAGACTTTTGCTACATTGACTGTCTTCACTTACATTTGCTACTGTGTACGAGAGCGGAAGGTTACGTTATGTGTGAAGTTCAAATCATCTAGCTCTATCTAAGCGCTCCATTGTATTTCGTGCTTCCCATGAGACATGGTAGTATTGATAATCCAGTCAACCATTATATGAAAGAAAGGGCGAGAGTAAACAGCCTTTTCTGACTCCGATACTCACTTGGGATGTATCTGTGTTACGTCCTTGATCTGTCTACCCACTTTTGGTTCTGAGGGTAACTTGTCTAATCTAGATTAAGATTTTAACGCGATAGGCTGACTGGCTTAACCTTGAGGCTAGTATGCCTGAGTTCGAAGTAGGGTAGAAAAAAGAAAACTATTCTATCACCTGATTGGCTGACAAGTGATAGAAGACAATTCAACTGGGACACTACTCGACTTATAACCAATTCCGATCTGGTTCCCGATTTTAGATCAGTGTAAAAAGGTACATGAATAAATAGATGACTAACCGGAGCACAACGTACAATAATTACGAGAATATAATTATGTCCAAAACTGGAGATTAGCGTGGAAAATAGAATACAAAATATTACTTTTAAATTACAATAGTTTTGGAACAGAAAGGGCTATGGCAGTGAATTACGCATCAAACGAAAGCTTATGATCTGTAGAATAGAGTAGAAACGAAAATAAATATTACTGTTTTACAAGTTTCGAATTAAATGATATAACGTCCAAAAAAATAGATTCCACAGTTTGTCAAGGCTTCTTGTTTCTCTGTTCACATCAATCTGTTAGCTGCCCTGTATGCACCACTTTGCAGTGTGATCCGTCGTACGAATCTCGTCTGTTGTTGACGATCTCAGGTACACTGTAGTGTCAAATAAGGCTTCATAAGGTTCTCCTATCCACACTGTCAAATGCTTTCTCTTGATCAGGGAAGTTAACATATGTTGGCGAGTTCCATTCAACTGATTGTTCAACAATGATAGAATGGCTAACGCTTAATACGATGTCACCAAAGTATACCATTTTTATATTGAGCCAGCGTGTTTAAATACCTCATTTGTAGTTATCCAGCTTTCTATTGAGACAGATACCAACACAGTCGTGAACAAATATGCGTTGGCCCAAGTTTCTATACCATATTAGCACGACAAGAGATAAAAATAATGTTGTAGCAATTCTAATAAGAAAAACAAAGTAAAAAAGTCTGTATGAAAGAATATTCAAATTCAAGATCGATTGGAAGATAAGGACTGGATGCACCCGCACTATTGCGAACGATTCTGAGCAATGTTACCCAGTCTCCATCCATTAATAACCGTTGTCGCACGGACCAACCAGTGAATTTGAGTCAAGTCACCAATTAATGAACTGGTACCATGTTCTAGTTTTACCGCCCCTGGCTTTTTTTCAACCTACGACTATGCCATCAAACATCGCCCGTCAAGGTAAGTTGTGGTCAGCCATTATTGACATATGTCTTAACAGCCTTAGTTGATGTTTCACCAACGGATTTGCCCCCTCTTCCAAATATCACGCCTAACCTCAAAATTGCCATTCCGTGCGACGCAAATAATGTTTCTATTAGAGACTACGTATAAACCTATAGCCAGCTACTAAGTCATTGTTAACGACACTTCTCATCTGCCTAAGAAAACTGCGCCGACTCCAGTGTGCCTTGCGAAAAGCAGCTAATTTATCATGACTCTTATAGACTTCCCAATTGTATTTACAATGTTGTAAGACATGAGTTTTGAGTTTTTAAATGCGTTCTAATTCGTATTTTTCAGACAATGCAATGGATATCTCTGAATTTCCGACAAACTAATAGATGTAAATGTTTGGGAGTGTAAATATAACATTTAATGTATTTTGCTTTGACTGTTAAAGATTGATTTTCAATCATTGTTACATGGTTGATAATCGTTGCAATCCTGTGCAGATGTATTCGTTTCCACGTGGTCAATTTTTTAATTATATGCTTAAATTATTTTCCTTACTGGCTTCATTTTAAGAGACCGTTGCTAACATATTATATAAGGTCAACTGGTGGAGAATTCTTGTATATTTCAGTCGTGATTTTCATCCAACTGGGACTAGTTCATGATGCAAGTTACCTTCGAAAATCATCACTTATTTGTATTTAGTAGTGTGTATTATAAATGAGAAGCATGTGCGACTATTCAATTCTGTAGATGCATAAGTTTGTGAAAACTGAGAAACATGCAACAAATGTTGGATACTATGTATAGGTGCCGACCTAATTTTCACTTTGATTCTGTAGACTGCTACAGCTTGAATCTGTTCATCTTTGGATTAGATTCTACGTTTTATTGAATAAAGAATGGAAGTCATGGTAGTACTTCGATGTAGTCGCGAGCTATAGAAATGGCTCTTGTTTTTTTCATTTGCAGCTGTATACGAATGATTGGTGTGATTTTAGTGATAGTAGCACCAGCAGATAAATCAGCTAAGCTCGTGAGCTCTTGAAACAGTAGAGGTAGTCTAAGCAATTAACCAGCATTCTAAGTTTGTGTATTTGTAACTCATTTTCAAGTGCAATTTTACGTGTTCGACTACATTTGGGTTACATTGTGCTTATATGAACCAGTATTAGGAGTTGGTTGCTAAAACTAAAGTTAGCGTGCATCTCAGCACTAGTTGTGTTTTTGGTAACTACCCCACAAAATGAAATTATCGTTATACACTGTATTATCAATATCGAAATTTAACTAAATCCTTATATTTCTAAAACCATCGTCGGTTGTTTTTTTATATATTTGGTATTAATATTCTTAATGTTTTTGTTTCTATATGCCATCCCGACTTACTAGTTATGGTACCTTAAGATTATACTGTTTTAAAGGTCGACTAGATAGAGGATAAAACAAATATACCACTAAGCATTTAGCTAAATAAGTATTATACATACAATCGCTAGTAAGGTTTTATAAACAACTACATTTCCAAAGCTTTTTCTACAACCTGTATAATAAGATACTTTAACTATTTTGTGGTTGGTGATGATTGGCAGTAAATCTCTAAGCTTAGGTTTCCTGCTCGTTGTGATTTGTCAGCAGGTCGTACCTCCAGTTTCAGGGTCTGATATTCCCTTCCTAATTCAAACCCTCTTCACCTAGTTCCACAGCCATTTGGGCAGCGACAGATTTCCAGGACTGATATTTATAATTTTCTGGTGACTGTTTAGTAATCAGTGTCATGTTAATCTAATTCTTTGCTGTTGACAGAATTCTATTGATCGAGTTACAATAGGTGCTTGATCAAAACAGATGTTAGGAAACTAAAGGAAATAGTAGTGACGTACCTTCTTGATAATATATGGAAAAACACTTTCAGAAATATCGTCCGTCTTTCTGATGTGCTTATTTGATTACGCGGTTTGTTAAGAGGTGTCTGAAGCTATGAATTTTTTAAAATGACGAAACTACAGCCAAAAAACTACCAGGCAATAACGGTTGTACTGTCTTTCGGGTCATTAGTATAGATGGCGTACGCGGTTCAGTCGCTACATTGGGATATTTACCCTCAAGCATTTAACGATTGTTCTGTTTTTAGAGCACGCAGGTCCTACGCTGAGGTGAAGCGGCTCTGGTTTTCAAATTTAGTCCATTATAAATACTTTTAAGGAAATATGTGGTCTGTTGCTTCTTTACAAACCATGATGAACATCTCCAGTTTTATGCAGAAACGTTGTGGGAGGATGAGCATTTTTAAGAGAACTAAAGCTGTGTCCTTACCTACTTTACTAAAAAAACAGGTGCGGTATGTGAACTAGAAATCCGGTAGGTCACCAGTCCCAGGTGTGTCGTCACGTGTATCCTGTCGTTTATAATCATTGGAGTAGGACTAGTACATTTTTGATGAAAGCTGAGTAGCACAATTAAATGAATGTCACTCAAGAACACCAGAGTTTGATAATTACAAAGTCGAAAGACAGCCTAAAATCAACAATACCACAAACGATTGTTTAATGAACGTTCACCACGTATATACTAATCGGTTTATCGAGAGATAGGCATCAAAGTTCCCTTCTCGTGTATTTTATCCGTCTGCTCACTAATTTACAAGAGAACTGTCTAGCTTAAGCAATTTTCGATTAGAAAAGAATATGAGTGACCTAAACGAAAGGTTATGACTCATAAAATAAAATATATGAAACAGTGTTCGTTCTTCACTGACTGACTGTCCCAAAATAGCTCTGTTATTCATCATTGCTTCACTCTTTATGTTGCAGTAGTTGTTCAGTTAAAAGCAAGGAAGATATCTAGTCATAAATATTGCGTGTCAAACGTAGGTGTATTTACAGCGGTGTAATAAACTCATTTTCTTGACAGCAATCATATCGTAATAACAAACACCATAGGAAAGTAACCAAAGAAGACTAACATTTTTGATATGAATAAAGTTGAACTAGCAAACCAAACATACAAGGTTTTAAGAGTATTTTGACCGTTCAACTGACAGTCTGACTACTAACTAAAAATTAAGGGGTGTGCTCGCAGGGAATTTACCATCGCTTCTTGATATAATCCTGATTTCCCGATAGATCTAATGAACGCTAATTCACTGGTTAAAACAATGTATCATTTTACAGTTATTCTGTTGAAGTCAGTAATATCACGAAATAAGTTAATATCACAGGAACGTCAATTAAGACATCTAAATCTCAGCTACAACGTAGGACCAGGCACTAATATGCATTGGTCCAAATTGCCATGCCGCATTAGCACAGCAAGCTGAACACCGGATTCATAGAAGTAGTTAAGTCAGTGGTGGTAATGTATAAAAGAAAGATTGCATATAACGAAAGAGTACAGGAAAAAAGATATGAAGCGATTTTAATCTCATAGTTTAAGGGAAGACAGAGTTTATACACCTACGCCATTGTGATCGATTCTGAGCCATGTCACCAAGAGTCTCCAACCATTGGTTACGATAGTCACGCGGACCCCAACCAGGTAATCTGCATCTACCAACATGGCTAAGACCAGAAGTTAGTAACTCCAAGCATTGATGCCACGTTTTGGTTTGGCCAACCCTAACTTTCTTCCAACCATCCCCTACACCGGTTAGCATTGCACGTCGTGTTAATCGGTGTTCAGGCATACGTAACACGTGGCCCAACCATCTCAGTTGATGAAGATTAGCAACCTCATCAACTGATTTACGGGTATCTTCAACTCTTAATGGCCACGTTTCGCAGCCGTAAAGTAAGACAGAACGAACTGCCGCGCAGTATACTCGTCCTTCTATTGATAGACGGATATCTCGTTTTCGCCACAGGTGACGTAAGTTGGAGAAAGCCGAACGAGCTTTCTCAATACATGCAGAGATTTTGGCAGACACCAACTCATTAGAGCTGATAAGACTTCCAAGATAAGTTACGTTGTCGACTACTTCACTCCCTATCCTTAATTCAGGTGTTGACGCAGACCAATCCTGAAGCAACAACTTGCATATACAGGGAGAGAAGCGCATTACAAACATATTGGTATTGTTGTTCAGCGCTACCAAGACTGCATTTTATCAACGTGTTCACCAAACAGGACTATATCATCTGCGTATTCCAGGTCGACAAATGAACCTCCCGGAAGATCGATTCTTGAAAATTTAGTCGACGTTATTTTCAGCAGTAGGTCTATGATAAAGTTGAACAAAAATCGAAATATCGGACAGTCTTGTCGGAAACCACTTGAGTTTGCAAAAGCAGATGACAGTTCGCCATAATCTCTGACTCGACTGGTAGTGTCCGAGTAAAGAGCCTTCACAAGGTTTATGTACTTCTGAGGTACGCCTTTCAATGACAGACACTTCCACAGAACCCCTCGGTCTACAGAGTCAAATGCTGCTTTTAAGCCAAGAAAGACCACCATTGTCGGACGCCGATAAGTATGCTTGTGTTCTAGAACCTGACGAATGGTGAATATATGGTCGACGCAGCCACGACCAGGTCTGAAGCCAGCCTGATTTTTTCGTGCTCGTAGTTTACTAATCTTAGGCGACTGATAATTGTTGACGCTAGTATTTTAAGTGCTGTTAGTCAAACTAAGCCCTCTATTTTCACAGGATAATTATGACCCTCTCTAACATATTGGGACGATCAGTGATTGTGACCAGTCAGATGGGATAACGCCCAACTCCCAGATTTTAGCTAAAATATTAATCAACCTAATCGCTAAAATTGGACCACCATCCTTAAAGACCTCTGGAGCCAATCCATCTGCCCTTCCTCGCATCAAATTAACTGTGGCCTTTTGAACTTCAGCTAGAGTTGGGGGACCTACTTCAATGTTCCATTCACACTGTCTGTGAATGGAGGGTAGTTGTAGAGTAGCTGAAGACCAGCTGAACTGCTCCTTAAAATATTCAGCCCATCGTTCTAAAAGTCTGGGCTGAGAGCAGATGAGGGCGTCGTCTTTTTCCGAGATAGTCTCACTTCAACTGGACTTATGAATTCCAGTTTCTTTTATTAGTCTAAATCTCTCTGCATGATGCAAACCAAAAGTAGTGACCTAGTGTTGTTTTGGCCGCTAGACTCTTCTCGACTTATTCGTTTGGTACGTATTATACTGTACCTGAGTGGAGTGAACATAAATAACATGGTTGAAATTTTACAACTACATTAACCTTTATAGTGCAACGGTGAAGCCGTTGAATAGTGGTCACTCAATTTTTAGTCAGTGAGCGTTTTCATATACTTATCAACCTAGTTCGATTTGTGTTACGGGATAGTATCACTAGCCCCAATAGAAACGATGTGGCCCAAAGCCGATTGATGATTTAGTTTATTAACCATGTATGGATTTATGTACTCGGAGCTTTGAGCTACAGTTTGTGTGACAGAGTACATGAACATGAATGTAATAAATAAGGTAAATCATCATCCCTTACCTGTTATTAATGTGTGACATCCATGCCCGAACCCGATGATTGAAATTGAGGCAATAAGTTATATATTATTACAGTTAAACACAATTC